TATACGTTTTTTTTTTTTTTGGTTTGTTTATTCGCCGCTGCTTTGTTTCATTTTTCAATTCATTTCAACTCGATGTTAATTTTAAATAGCGTGCGATCCGGCCAATATGTTCCAGCTTTTGTGCAAAACTTTGTATGTATATATATATATATATAAATTTTGTGCATCAGAGAGAGAATGTATAAATCGCAATTGATGTTTGTTTTAATTGAAATTCTAAATAATAAAACACTTAGCGTTATTATTGTTAATACCGTCGCTCCAATTAATCATTACTATGGAAACCGTCGCCATGGTGATATTTACTGTCCAGTAAACAAATGCATCGTTCCATATTATTATCATTATCGTCGTTTACGTTTTAATATGCGCGCACGTTTTCGAATTTCCCGGGCTCTACGATAAAGCGCCCTCTCCTATCCTGATCCTGATCTTCGTGCAGTAATTACACTATCTGCAATGGAAATCGACGAACACTGAGATTCCGGTTGGTCAAAGGGCGATTTTTGTTTCTCTCTCTCTCGCTTTACATAAGGTTCCGTTGCGACAAAGTGAGGGGGGGAGATAATCATCGGATGATCTCTGACCCATCGACCGTTCCCTTTTCGTTTCCAACGTTTTCGAAGCAAACAAAAACTTTAATTGAATTTTCAACAATTAGTGTCCGAACAAATTATTTTCAATCCAAATCTACAACGAAAATTTGTTTATAAATGAATTTACAAAAAAAAAAAATATTTTATTTAATTAAAACATAAAATTTTCTTTTTCAATTATTTAAACAAAAAAATAAAAACTAATTTGAAATAATTATTAAATATTTAACATTTTTAAGTTGATTTCTATCTAAGTCGAACAAAAACATTGTTAATTAATAAATTAAAGTAAATTTTTACTTATGATTTTATTCAAATCCTTAACTAATTAATTATGCTTGAGTTATATTAAGTAAATACTCGAGTTTTGTTTAATTCGAAGTGCTCTTATTCAAATCTTAAAAAAACACTTCACTTTTGTTTTCGCTCTCTATTTCTCTATTTCTCTATTTCTCTATTTCTCTATTTCTCTATTTTCTCTATTTCTCTATTTTTCTCTCTATTTCTCTATTTTTCTCTCTATTTCTCTATTTTTCTCTCTATTTCTCTATTTTTCTCTCTATTTCTCTATTTTTCTCTATTTTTCTCTATTTTTCTCTATTTTTCTCTATATTTCTCTATTTTTCTTTATATTTCTCTAAGACATTCATTTTCATTGTTGATTATAATTTCCGTTGTGCAATATTTATGGATTCGTTCATGCGAAAAGCTGAGTGTTTGAAATTGGGGTGTTGTTGTGTTTGTGCGTAACCCTCATGGGGATTAAGAGAGAATAATGAAGATATAACGCAGAATCGGGGGCAAAGAGATGTGAGTAGTGAGACCCCCCATTCTCCCCCATCAGCATACAACACACACACGAACCAGGTTGCATGCGTAACGCTTCGCGTCACGTGTTGTTCCAGCATCCCTCGACGGTTGAGGGATGGTGGTGGGTGGGTTGCGAGGGGGATAAGTTGCCGCATTACAACTAACACGCGAGGAAATCCCTGACAAATGTACGGGACTTAGCAGTCACCCCAGATGAGGGGATGAAAGAGAGAGAGAAAGTTGGAACGGGTGTGACAAGGGGTGGAGAAAAAGAGCGCCATCTCGTTTATATTAATTACACACACATGTTACCCGGCGCATCCACCACAAAACCTTTGTGAAACGCAAGAAACGAATTCGTTTCAATGATTTACGTTCACTTTTCAACCAATAAGGCTTCATAAATAATATGAAGTAACTAAATGTAAAATTTATATTTTGTAGAACATTATTTTCTATCAACATTTTAATTAAATTAATGCGTACCTTTATACAATAAGTAATTATGTTCAGTTTTGGGGGTAAATTGGGTTAAACTAACAAAATTAAATTTGACGATTTTAGCAAACATTATGATGAAAATTTATACATATAATTAGCAAAGAAAATATTTATATTAATATTTAATTATATAAATTCTCAATTAATTAATTAATTAATTAATTATCGTATATTAAAAAAAGAAGTGGGAATTGTCCGTTGAGATTTAAATAAGTGTGTGGTTTTGATGATGATGTAAAGAGGATTCAGGTTTGGGTCCAGATGGTTGGGAAAAAGTAACGATCAATTGCAGATATCGTGATGCGGGTGTAACAGACATCCTCTCTTGCCGCAAGGGCTTTACCCACTCTCTCTCTCTCTCTCCACCACCCAAGTTTCGGGACAGGAAGCGGGACAAGTAATCTCCCAAAGGATGTTTGATCATTTTGCCGCACCCGGAGCGCTTAAGCCCTATTACATTCTCTCATCTCCTTCTCTCTCTCTCCATCACATGCACACATACACATTTACATACTTTCCATCTCATGTTACCTGTGTATGTGCCTATCTCTCCCTCTCTAACATCTCTTGTATATCTTTCCGTCTTCGTCGAGGACGGAAATCCGATTTGGTTTCGGTATTTAACAATGGAGGACCCGCTTTTGATTTTGCAGAGAACGTGGTGCGGTACGACGCGCCGATGGGTCAGAGCCGTGAGTCCCTCGGGGTCAATCTGGAAGATGTGAGCTACGACGGATTAATCACCGGGGACACAATGACCGGAGGACTCGGACAGCTCATCGATGGACTCTACGGGGATGACGACTACCAGAAGCAAGTGCAGGGCGAAAACTCAGGTAAAAATTGCTCATACTTGCACACTACAATTACATAATAAAAATTGATACAAGAAGCAAAATCGATTTAATTCAACTAAAAAATAATACCTAATACTAAAATATTTATAAAAAAAATTGTAAATGAAATACTCAACTGAATTTAGTAGTTAGCAATTGGAAAAAGAAGCTTTTTTTCTTCTTGCAAAATTACAAATTCAAAATTTATTTATTTCAACTGAAAATATTCATTTTCTTGTTAAAACTAAAATATTCTCAGGTAAACTCAGGTAAAAATTCTCATACTTCACACTACAATTACATAATAAAAATTGATACAAGAAGCAAAATCGATTTAATTCAACTAAAAAATAATACCTAATACTAAAATATTTATAAAAAAAATTGTAAATGAAATACTCAACTGAATTTAGTAGTTAGCAATTGGAAAAAGAAGCTTTTTTCTTCTTGCAAAATTACAAATACAAAATTTATTTATTTCAACTGAAAATATTCATTTTCTTGTTAATATACTAAAGTATTCTCAAGTAAACTCAGGTAAAAATTACTCATACTTACTCATATTTACAATCACTTTCACACTACAATTACATAATCAAAATTGATACAAGAAGCAAAATCGATTTAATTCAATTAAAAAATAATACCTAACACTAAAATATTTATAAAAAAAATTGTAAATGAAATACTCAACTGAATTTAGTAGTTAGCAATTGGAAAAAGAAGCTTTTTTTCTTCTTGCAAAATTACAAATTCAAAATTTATTTATTTCAACTGAAAATATTCATTTTCTTGTTAAAACTAAAGTATTCTCAGGTAAACTCAGGTAAAAATTACTCATACTTACTTACAATCACTTTCACACTACAATTACATAATAAAATTGATACAAGAAGCAAAATCGTTTTTTTTATTTTAAATATCAAATGATTAATTATAAAATAATCTATTAAAATTATTTAATTAAAAAAGTTAAAATTAAATAATTACAACTTTATTACATAATGAAATACTCAACTGATTTAGTAGTTAGCAATTGGAAAAAGAAGCTTTTTTCTTGAAAATTCAAATACAAAATTTATTTATTTCAACTGAAAATATTCATTTTCTTGTTAAAACTATTTTATAAATTACAATCAAAATTTTTGGTTTTTTCTCAAATGAAATAAATATATTATAATATAACAACACTGTGAAATACAAATTCAAAATTTATTTATTTCAACTGAAAATATTCATTTTCTTGTTAAAACTAAAATATTCTCAGGTAAACTCAGGTAAAAATTACTCATACTTACACACTATAATTACATAATAAAAATTGATACAAGAAGCAAAATCGATTTAATTCAACTACAAAATAATAGCTAATACTAAAATATTTATAAAAAAAATTGTAAATGAAATACTCAACTGAATTTAGTAGTTGGCAATTGGAAAAAGAAGCTTTTTTCTTCTTGCAAAATTACAAATTCAAAATTTATTTATTTCAACTGAAAATATTCATTTTCTTGTTAATACTAAAGTATTCTCAGGTAAACTCAGGTAAAAATTACTCATACTTACTTACAATCACTTTCACTCTACAATTACATAATAAAAATTCATACAAGAAACTCCGTTTTTTTTTTTTGTAAAAATAAAGAAGCAAAATCGATTTAATTCAATTAAAAAATAATACCTAATACTAAAATATTTATAAAAAAAAAATTGTTAATTCACATTTTGAAATAAATTTTACAACTTTATTACATAATGAAATACTCAACTGGATTTAGTAGTTAGCAATTGGAAAAAGAAGCTTTTTTCTTGAAAAATTGCAAATACAAAATTTATTTATTTCAACTGAAAATATTCATTTTCTTGTTAATGCTAAAGTATTTACAATAAAATTGAAATTTCTAAATAAATTTCACATTTTAATTACATTATTTGTTCTAAAAATATTGAATTTCTACCTAATTCCAAACTAAGAATAAAATTGTGAAATATTCATTTCTAATTATATTTAAAACATATTTCTACTTGATAAACCAATGGAATGAATTGAAAATTGACAACAAATCGAAACAAAGTTAACATTAAAACCGAATCCAATTCTACTAAACTTTTTACTCTACATATTCAGTAATACTAAAGTATTTACAATAAAATTGAAATTTCTAAATAAATTTCACATTTTAATTACATAATGAAACATTATTTGTTCAAAAAATATTGAATTTTTACCTAATTCCAAACTAAGAATAAAATTGTGAAATCTTCATTTTTAATTATATTTAAAACATATTTCTACTTGATAAACCAATGGAATGAATTGAAAATTGACAACAAATCGTAACAAAGTTTACATTACAACCGAATCCAATTCTACTAAACTTTTTACTCTACATATTCAGTAGCTGTTGTTTCAATTTTGGGTATCAAACTTTTTTAATTAAATTACGTTTTTTTTTTGTAAAAATACAAAAACAAAATCGATTTAATTCAACTAAAAAATACCTAATACTAAAATATTTATAAAAAAAATTGTTAATTCACATTTTGAAATAAATTTTACAAATTTATTACGTATTGAAATATTCAACTGAATTTAGTAGTTAGCAATTGGAAAAAGAAGCTTTTTTTCTTACAAAATTACAAATACTAAATTTATTTATTTCAACTAAAAATATTCATTCAAATATTCTTGTTAATGCTAAAGTATTTACAATAAAACTGAAATTTCTAAATAAATTTCACATTTTAATTACATAATGAAACATTATTTGTTCTAAAAATATTGAAATGTGCAAATCTTATTACTGTTAACATTATTTTTTTTTCTTCAAATCTTGATTTTAAATTATATTTAAAACATATTTCTACTTGATAAACCAATGGAATGAATTGAAAATTGACAACAAATCGTAACAAAGTTTACATTAAAACCGAATCCAATTCTACTAAACTTTTTACTCTACATATTCAGTCGCTGTTGTTTCAATTTTGGGTATCAAACTTTTTTAATTAAATTACGTTTTTTTTCACTCTTTATTTTGTGTGTGCGTGTTTTTTTTCTGTGGTGGTTGTTGTTGTTATGCCCTCGTTTCATTTAATTTGAGAGAGGGGTGCGAATGCTGCGGGAAGTGTGTTTTAGTGTAGATTAGCAATTGGCCGTGTCTACACATCGGAGGTCGTGCATTTTCCACTCTCTACACCCACCCCATCCCAACTTGATCCCGAGTCGAGATAAAGGGACGTCGCGACGCCCAACCCCCGTCCCGCATACGGCGGCGTCTTATCTTGGCCCGTCCAGAGAGGAGAAAGCACCGGTTCTTCTATCCAACCAAAACACTCTCCATTATCTAAGCAAAATATAGACCCATACATATTTTCAACAACAACAACTACAACACTTTCAAATCGATATTTTTATTGTGAAAAATCTATTAATTCTCAAAAAGAAACATTGAAAATATAAAAAAGAAAATTACGTAATTTTGATAAGATAAAGTTTTTCATTTAATTCAGTAATCAGGAAACATCAGTGGAGTTTACTTTAAGTTCATCAAAAGTTATTTTTCGTATTCGGAAAGACTGAATATAATAATTATGAAAGTTTTCGCTCGGCGTGTTCCCAAGTAAAATCACTAAAGTGCTAAATAAAATGTATTTCGGATTTTCATTAAAGTTAATGCTGTTAATTGTAAAATCTGAGAGCTTAAAGAGAATATTATATAAGCTCTCGTGTTCTGTGCTGAAAAAGAAGACAAAAACAAAAAAAGAGAAACTGGTGGCATTAAAGAGAGCTCTTTGTTTCCATATTTAATAATAATAATGATGGGGGGTTGGGGGGTTGAAAAAAGCTTTTATTTCATTAACTAGAAAGCGCGCAGACGGAATTAATGTATTTATGCATATTTAAATATGGATTTAATCTAAATTCACTTAATTTATTTCGTCTTTCGTAATTTACTTGTCCGTTGTTTTCATTTCATTTATTTGTATATTTTTATGTTTATTACATAGACAGAGAGAAATGTAAATAAACAAAATAAATAATAAAGCAGAAAGTGGGCTTATATAAGTGTAAGCCGTTTCCATTATTCGGAATCTGCTTATTATGGAAATTAAACGGCGACGAAGGAATATGTATATTTCATTTTCGCAGGGAAGAGGAGAAACGAATTAGTTTTCTCTCGGATATACACTTTTCTTCCGTTCTTCTCCTTCGGCGGGAAGTTTTAAATTGTAATTGCCGTTTAACTTTCGGATCTTTTGCTCGGAGACGCTAATAAACGAGGACACAATTACATTTGATTACGATATTTACAACTTTACACAGCTGTATTTTATACTACTTTTATTAGAAATATACAAATTCTAGTTGAATTTTTAACAGTAAAATTAGTAAATTTAATTGTTTGTATTTGCTTTTTTTTTTGGTTTAATTCGATTGTATAGAGAAACTATACTAAATTTATTGAGTTTTGAAAAGTAGTACAACTAATATATGGAAAAATTCAAGGGTTGTTTTATGTATTCATTGCAATTTCACAATTTTCATACATTTTTTTTAATGTTATATCAATTTATACACATTTTCCCAAATACGTAATTTAATTTAAAAAATACAACTTTTATTTCGTCCGTGTTTGCCGCGATTAATTTATTGGGTTTTGAAAAGTAGTACAACTATAATATCGAATAATTCAAGGGTTGTTTCTTGTAGAATTTTACAATTTTCATACATTTTTAAGTGTTTTCTTATAATGTTATATCATTTTATAAACACTTTCCCAAATACGTAATTTAATTTAAAAAAAAATACTAATAATTTGCGAAATTTCACTTACGCAATATGGATTTACGTGTGCATATTAACGTTACGCAATCACGCACATTTCGTAACTTTAAAAAGAATGAATTTAAAAGGAATTTAATGAAATTGAATTGATATCAAAGTAATTTTAGTAGGTTTTTATTGCTGTTCTTCGTTCTTCAACTAAACACCTTTGTGAACATCTGTACGAACACTTTACAGTTTGTATTACATTATTGTCTATATCTTAATGAAGATTGTTACCATAATTAATATAAATTGATTAAATTTAAGGTAAATGTTTGGCGATGGAAATATTTCGATTTTCTTGCAGAGTTGAAGTATTTTTTTCACTCTTCTGATGATGATCGTGCATTTAATCTCACCCGTTTCCATGGCAACTTTAGTTATATCCTACCATTGGTAACTTTTATTTCGTCAGTGTTGGCCGCGATTAAATTAATTGCACAAATTTCCCGCCACGATTCAAAACTGCACTTAATTTATTGGGTTTTGAAAAGTAGTACAACTAATATATGAAATGATTCAAGTGTTGTTTTATGTAGAATTTTAGAATTTTCACACATTTTTAAGTGTTTTTTTATAATGTTATATCATTTTATAAACACTTTCCCAAATACGTAATTTAATTTAAGAAAATACAAATAATTTGCGAAATTTCACTTACGCAATATGGATTTACGTGTGCGTATTAACGTTACGCAATTACACACATTTCGTGACGTTAAAAAGAATGAATTTAAAAGGAATTGAATGAAATTGAATTTATATCAAAGTAATTTAAGCAGGTTTTTATTGCTGTTCTTCGTTCTTCAACTAAACACCTGCGTGAACACCTGCGTGAACACCTGCACGAACACTTTACAGTTTGTATTACATTATTGTCTATATATTAATGAAGATTGTTACCATAATTAATATAAAATGAATAAATTCAAGGTAAATGTTTGGCGATGGAAATATTTCGATTTTCTTGCAGAGTTGAAGTATTTTTTTGTTTTCAAAAGTAATACAACTAAAATATCGAATAATTCAAGGGTTTTTTTATGTAGAATTTTACAATTTTCTTCACATTTTTAAGTGTTTTCTTTTAATGTTATATCATTTTATAAACACTTTCCCAAATACGTAATTTAATTTAAGAAAATACAAATAATTTGCGAAATTGCAATTACGCAATATGGATTTACGTGTACATATTAACGTTACGCAATGTGCGTAAAAGACTGTATTACATTGTTGTCTATATCTTAATGAACATTGTTACAATAATTAATATAAATTGAATAAATTCAAGGTAAATGTTTGGCGATGGAAATATTTCGGCTTTGTTGCAGAGTTGAAGTATTTTTTTTTCACTCTTCTGATGATCGTGCATTTAATCTCACCCGTTTCCATGGCAACTTTAGTTATCTCCTGCCATTGGTAACTTTTATTTCGTCCGTGTTTGCCGCGATTAAATTAATTGCACAAATTTCCCGCGACGATTCAACACTTTTCCAAACACCGTCTACTATCTCTCCGCACGTATCTTTTTTCACTTTTTTTTTCTTTACATATATATAGTACATGTGAGAAGGGCTTACGTGCATCCACCTTTATCTAAACAAATTGCTGCACGTGGCCCTTGCCCTTCATTCCGCTCGCTTTGTCTCTTTCTCTCTTTCTATTTTTTTTATATATATGTGTGTGCTGTTTTTTTTTTGTCGGTCTGTTATTTATTCGGCGACAGTGAAATATAGGTGAGGATGAGGGCTTTTTGTGCCCTAATTTAAGTACACTAATATAAAAGAGCCGGTCATTCCATTTAGATAATGCCAACGCATTTATATTTCCCTCGAAAAACTGTCTTCGGCTTCTGCACTCAAACAGATATATTTAGAGTTTTTTTTTCTTTTCTTCCTCTTCTTAGAGAAGAACATACTTGGAGGAAAGTGGACAAATTTATATAATCTCAGAGCCCTCTTACATTTATTCCCGTTGCTTTTACGAGCGTTCGAATAAAAAAAAATAACTTACGAGTCCTTTGAATACTTTGGTCGGATTTATGGATTCTGACCTCCTCGGACTTCTTCATCTCGATCTTGAGAAGTTATCGCTTCTGGTTTTAAATACTGATCGTCCGAACATGTTCATGGTTTCCAATAACTCAAGTGTGAAAGCGTTTCTTCGATTTGTTAACTTTTTCTTCTTTTTGTACCTAAAAATGCAGGCAGTCGATGGGTGGGATGGAGCAACGACACGAGGAACGGGAATCCATTAGAGATCGTGTTCGAGTTCGACGCCGTCCGGGAATTCAACAGGATCCATCTGCACGCTAATAACATGTTCACCAGAGGAGTCCAAGTAAGTGCCTAACGCTCAACGATAACGCAATTTCAGCAACTCGAATCAATATTGTTAACAAACTGTCCAATTCAACTAAATCTTAAGATTAATTCAAACATAAAGGTAAAGAATAGAAACTTTTTCTTTGAATCCAAATCACTCGCACGATTTGGACTCAAAACCGCGGAAATACCTAACAATTTTTGATTGAAAGATCTGAGTTTTCGCGCTGAAAAGGTAAACAAAAATCCCTTGACGACCTGTCATAGGGCGGCCCTTTTCATATTCAAATCCTCGGAAGCGAAAGCGAAAACGGAAAGCGAAGATTAAACCGATTTTAAAGTTTAATTTGCACACGCACATACCAAAAAGAAGCAGCAAAAACCCTCGTTTCATTTCCTAAGTCATCCGGAAACGACACGTGAATAAATAAAGGAGAAACATAAAGAAGAAAAAAAGTCAAATTCACACACACGAGAATGTAGCAACCTGCTGTCACTTACGTAAATCCAAATCTCGGGTAAAAAAAAAGGAAAGATCGTAGACGTGGGCTTTTCAATCTTTTCAATTGTTATTAAAAGAGTAATCCTGACGGGTTTCAAATAAAATAAGGGCTGTTTTCAAGCAAATATTCAATTTATATGTTTTTTTTGTCAATATCAACAATTTAGTTGTTTTGGAGATATTCGTGATTTAAATTATGTGTACGTTATTAAGTGTTAGATTGTAGTCTTCTTTTGTATGGTTCATTGAAGTAATTGTAATTAGTGTACAAGTAAGTGAGTTCGTTAGGAGCGAGCAGGGAGAGGAAATGAAGAAAAAGAAAATCTCCGGTGTAATTTGCGTTCGCGGAAGGGTGAAGCAATTTGATTATCCGTGTGTCTTTGAAGTGGATGTAATTCGGCGAAGCTTAAGCTGGAAGTGTTGGAAACCGCAGCAGAGAGTGTCAAGTTAGTAGGCAAGCAGCTCTTGGTCTTCTTGCACTTCAATTCCTCTGCGGTCGAATACCAATTCCAATTACTAA